ACAGGTAAGATTTCAGGTTCCCATCTATAAGAAAGAAGCAGACAAAAAGTAAAGCCTCAGTTTCCAAGGAATAGAATATTAAAAATATAAATGTTTCATATGTCATTTTTGTGTTATTTGTGAGGGAGTAAAACAAATGAATAAAGGGTTTTAAACAATCCTGATTAGGGTACCTGGGTGGCTCAGTCAGTTAAGTGTCTGCCTTCAGCTCAGGTCATGAACCGAGGGTCCTGGGATTGAGCTCTGCATCCGACTCCCTGCTAAGCAGGGAGTCTGCTTCTCCCTCTCCCTCTGCCCCTCTCCCCCCACTTGGGTGCTCTCTCACTCTCTCTCTCTCGCCCGTGCTCTCTCTCAAATAAATAAAATCTTCAAAAAAATAAAATAAAATAAACAATCCTGATTAATGCATTTAAGTTATTGGAAGGGCAAATATATCAGCAATAAACTTAAATATCAAAAGAACATACAATAGGGCTTTCTCCAGTTTTGCATTTTTAAAAGAAAATTGCCTTTAAAGTTAAAACACTACAAATAAAAAATAAGGATCATAATAAAACATCACCAGCTCATTAAAATGGATATTTTCAATTTAGGTTAGCATTACTTAAAGTACTGGCTGTTATATAATACAGTAAAATCTGACAACTACCTAAGCTTAAAGTCCAAGAAATACAGGGGAAAATATACATACTCAAATTCTCAAAACTAAAGAAGCACCAAGCAAACAGACTATTCAATATATTTATATCTAAGTGAGGATGCATCTGTATTGAAATTTAAAAATTAATAAATTTTTATTTTAATGCCAATAGATAAATCATACAAACTGATTTTATCTGTTTGAATACCAAAAGTACATTTCCCCCAACCCTTAACCTATGACCTTTCTCAGATTCAAAACTACAATAAAAGAAAAAGACACTTAAAAATCTCTGATTATTGGTGCGCCTGGGTGACTCAGTTGGTTAACTGTCTGACTCTTGGTTTTGGCTCAGGTCATGATCTCAGGGTCGTGAGATCAAGACCCACGTCGGGCTGCTCAATTGGTGTAGAGTCTGCTCATCTCTCTCCCTCTGCTTTCTCTCTCTCTCTCAATAAATAAGTAAAATCTGTTTTAAAAAAATGTTCTTTAAAAAAAATGTATCTCCAATTATTACACACCAGGGAATGTTTGTTTCCAAAATTTGTGACAAACTCAAATGAGATAGAGAAGCAAAGTTCTGAAGAGATTAGTGGTCAGCATTTCAAACTCACTATGAATCATTAAGACTACTTATAAAATACTATTAAAACCTAAAATAATGGTACTGTTACTATGATGACACAATGACAATTTATTAAGTCCATTCTTGAGGCTAGAAACTAGCTAAGCACTTCACATAATCCAATCCTTAAGACATTACAGGTGGGTATTATACCCATTTTCCAGATAGGGACAATTGAGGTACTGTGTTAAAGAACTGGTCAAATATTATAAAACTTAAACAGAGTAAAAAACCAAACCCAGATTTGTCTGAGTCTAAAGCATATGTACTCACCCCATGCACTGTAATATAGAATTTTTTGTATAATACTAGCATAAAAGAAAAGGACAGGAACTTAGA